GGTCGTAAATGGCTCTGGTCTTAGCAAAGGTGTCGGGGTTGCCATGGTAACCAGTGGCCTGTGGTCATTCGCAGACATCCTGGCGCCCAGTCTATTGGGTGAGGGGTCTGTGACGACTTGTTAATCTAATGAATAACTGATTTGTTAAATCAAATGAAAAATTGTGTTTTTGATTGGTCCAGACGCTACAATACTGTCAGCAAGCACCGTCCTTCGGATGAGACGTTAAACCGAGGTCCTGACTCTCTGTGGTCATTAAAAATCCCAGGATGTCTTTCGAAAAGAGTAGAGGTGTGACCTCGGCATCCTGGTCAAATTTGCCCACTGGCCTCTGATCATCATGGCCTCCTAACAATCCCCATATCTGCTGATTGGCTTCATCACTCTGTCTCCTCTCCACCAGTAAGCTGGTGTGTGATGGGCGTTCTGGCGCACTATGGCTGTCGTCGCATCATCCAGGTGGATGCTGCACACTGGTGGTGGATGAGGAGATACCCCGACAATGTAAAGCGCTTTGAGTGCCTAGAAAAGCGCTATATAAATGTAATGAATTATTATTATTATTATTATGTATGCATGTATGTATGTACCAGGAGCACCTTAAAAAACCACAACAAATTCCTCGTGTGTTTGCACACCTGGCGAATAAAGCTAATTCTGATTCTGATTCTGATTCTGAAGTGACAAGGCTGCAGACACCAGTCCAGTGCTTCACTTGAACAGCACAACAGCGCCACGCCGTGGACACATTCATCCACAGTCACCAAGAGCTGTGCGACTGAACTATTTTTTTTTTTATTATGAATGCAAACATCACAAAGATGACATTAAATATATACAACGTTGTATAGAGTACACAACATTTATTAACAATATATATATATATTTTAAATGCTTTATTTAGTGACAATTCACATACAAATTGACAATAAAAGCAAAAATTTCAATAAATTCAAAGAAACAATGACTGTAAAGAAATTTAAAAATAATGCTAATTAAGTGCGACTGAACTATTTAAAAGCCCGACATCTGTTAAAGTGACGTCAGAGTGACGCTGGATAATACCTGATGACGTTCAGCATCTACAGGTAAAATCTCTAGAGGAATGAAAAAGATTCAAGCAGTTATTAAATATGCTGAGTGCATAAAGTGAGTCTCCGTTTCAACTCATCATGAAGTTTCTGACGGAGTTTAGATGATTATTGTTAATATATTTGTATTGTTTATATATATTTTTTTTATTTTGTGAACTAGACTCCTATCCACAACTTCTTTGGGGCATACAGTATGCAATTTAAAATGCATTTGTGCCCACATTAACCTATCAAATGTCTCTGTCTATCTGTCTATTTGGTAATAACTTGCAATATTAACATGGTAATGATGATCACTGAGCAAGTCATGTTTGTCATGTCAGTATTCAGTCATCGTGTCAGGTTATTTTTGAACGAACATGTTAATCAATTAATCAATCTATCTATCTAGTAATAACTTAGTAGTGTACTGCTGTAGTCTGCTATGCCATTCAGTCGTCGTAAGGTAATTTTCGAACGAACATCGTACATTTCGTACAATTCGTAGGCCATGGAAAAAAGTGTCCCCTTCTTTTGTAATGTCTCTCTTTCTACTTTGTTATGTGAATATTATTTAAACTTCTTGTTGTAAAGCCGATACCTGCGTCGTGTCACGTGACGAGCTCGTCTGCGATTGTCCTGGTAACGGTTACCTGGTAACGAGCGCGAGGATAAAAGAGCAGCACAGGTATGTGGTTTACTGCGCGGAGGGGCGACAGGTAAAGGACGAACCGTTTTGACAAAAACTTAAGTGTTATTAGGTTATTTCAATCATACAAAAAATATATAAATGTTAATATAAATATTTTGTTGTTTCACGGTTCAAAGACCCATCAAGTGCGCATTTAAATGACGCTATTAAGGTAAACAAGTACATAAAATGCGATTAAGACTGACGTTACAGTAATGTGGGTTAGTGTTAATATGACCTCAGTCAGAGACTGTGTTGGAAACTGTTTGTTTATATCAAATGGTAATTCTTCCATTGTATATTGTACTTGAAATAAAACATCACCTCAACCATTCATTTGTCATAGTGTGTGTGTGTGTGTGTGTGTGTGTGTGTGTGTACAGTTGTTATGGTTCTGTATTTTGTTAGGTTAGTCACAGTCAAAGATGGTTGGACCCTTGGGTGCAGTCAAACCTTCGGTTGGAACAGGCAGACCATTGGGGCGTCCGACTAACATCAGCCTTGACCAATACTGCTCCTCCTACAGACAGTCTTATGGTGAGTAACCTTAGATTCAGTCTAACTTTTCATCAAACTATACTTTAGGTTTTTTATTCATGATTATGGACATTGGCATGATTAGACTGATACTGTAGCTAGGCCTGTCACGATAACAACTTTTTGTTGTGCGATATATTGCCCCAGAAATAAATGCGATAAACCATATTATTGTCATTTTAAGACCATTTTATGCCACTGAATATATAATCATAATGTAACAGCATAATAATGCAAGAAGGCCTACACACTTCCAAATGACAACAAACTTTTAATTTTTAAGAATATTTAGATCATGGAAATTAAGTCGAAATATTAGATACCTTCAAAAACTTGAATAAATAGTAAATAAACGGAAAAAAGTAGAAAAATTCACAAATGACTTTTATGGAGATTTTTCCCTGACCTTCTTTTCTCTGTAAATGAAGGGTGCACACTATTGCTGAAAAACACAATCACTACTCAGCAGTCAGATGTCCGTATGCACAAAGGCACAGATCCCTAAACAAGGCCATATCTGCAGATGAAACTTTGTTTGTAGAAGCATTTGTTAAATTTGAACTAGCACCTCATGACTACACCACGTTATGTACGAGAAGCTGCAAAAGACACAGGTGCAAGTGGAATGCAAAATACATGGTGACATAAATTTTTATGTAAATATAATGGCCGATATATCGCGTCACCAAAAATTATTGAGGTCATGTACATATATTGTGCGATAAGTCAATATATTGATTATTGCGACAGGCCTAACTGTAGCCAGACAATATCAGGTCATAATTTTCCCGTTTTACACAACAGCCTTTTTCTATGCCACAGTTTGAAATATACTGAAATATATAATATAACAGCCATCCATCCTTTATACAGCACATTATAATGTTTTGATTGCTTATTTTACTCGAAACATTCAAAACTCTAGATCTGAGCAAGAATATTTTTTCTTTATTTCCCTTACTTTTGTCTTGTTTAATTGTGTTGTTTTTGTGGAACACAGAAAGAGAATTTTTGAAGAATCTTCATGCAACTTCTTTTAGATGAATTGAAGAAGTTATAAACATCTAACATGGCCCAAATGAATAATTATTTTAGTGAATATAGCATATGTCATATTAGGGATGCACAATTAATCGAATTTCTAATCGTGATTACAATCATGGATGCCACAATTACGTAATCATTCAAAGCGGCAATTAATCGTTCAAACTGTATATTGGTCAAAAATGTATATATTGGTACATCCTTATTTCAACTGTAGCTATTAGATTTATTTGTGTCGTGGAATATAGGATGTTGAATCTGCCATGGGTTGTGTCCTCTTTTATCCAGGTAAGGAGTTATTCCAGCCATGTCTAGGCCATCATTTTGGGACGGGTTACTCTGCCAACCACCGTCCTCTTCTGCACTACAGCTCCAGCCTGGACCGCTATGATAATCCTCAATTTGGGTAAGACCCAGATTGTGTGTGTGTGTGTGTGTGTGTGTGTGTGTGTGTGTCCAAAACCTTTTTTGCACCTCACTAAATCATTCTAGACACATATACTTTTTCTTTTCTCTTAGTCTCTCACTGTTGGATAGTTTTGAGTCTCAATCGAAGCGTCATTACCAGCGTCTGGTTCTGCCTGACGGGACGGAGACTTTGGCCTGCTCGGGGTTCAGACTCAGAGAGAGCGGATATTTGCAGCTCCAAGCTCAGCCAAGACCTGTGAGAGCCAAAGACACACACATAGAAACGCAGCAGGTTTCAAGGGCACCGTGCCATGTCACTTCACCCTGGCCTCATTGTGCTTTTACTTTCTCTCTCTATCTCTGTCTCTTAGAGAGCAGCGTCCTGTCAGACTGAATATAAAGGCACTTACATTCCTCACCGCCTCAGAGTTTTGGGCAAGTAGTGTGGTTTTAAAATAATGGTTCTTTGTAGATTAAAAAGTTCTTGATGTTGCATTCTAGGTGTTTCAGATCAGTGTGTTTGTGTTTTAGTTGGACCCATAGAAGATAGTGGATTCACTAAGGAAGCCAATCTACAGCTGAACACCTTCCTCCCTCAAAATATTAACATGGTGTGTGTGTGTGTGGGGGGGGGCGAGGGTCAGCCCATCATTTTAATCTGTCGGCAAAGTCATTGTCACTGTTTTTTTAACTGCATTGATCCATAATTCTTAATGTTGTATTCATGATGAGAAATCCTTTTTCCGATGTTATGCTGACTCTCTGCTCTGATTGGGTAATGATGGTTGTCAGGATGACGCTCGCAGGACACAGGAAAGTGTGATGAGGACTGACTTCCTTCCCGGATGTTTCCTACAGGTGGTCTTCTGTTTCTCTCGTTCTCTGTTATTACTCTGTCCATCAACATCTCTACACTTTTTTATAGTGTGCGTCAGCTGGATGAGGTCTGTAGCCTATTTAGTGTGTGTGTGTGTGTGTGCGTGCGTGTGTTTCAGGGCAGTGAAGCATTACCAAAACTTGCCTCCCGTGCACTTCGAGAAACTGGATTTACAAGAGAAACCCAGAGGCCTCTGACCAGTTCAGTGAGTATCTCTCTCACTAGATAAACTCTACAAATAAGACTACAACAAGGTTTCTGACCAAGGATCTTGGTTTATTGGATGTTCTGCCCACAGGCCTCACTACAGGGTGGTGTTAGTGAGGACAGCGGACAGAAGACTAGAACTGCTACAACTAGATTATCCATTGGGCCGATGGTAAATAAAACCAATATATTTTGCCCTCTAGGTTTGTGAAAGTTGAAAACTGCACTTTTTTATTTGGCTGTGACTGCTCAAATAGATTTAAACGAACAACCAATATACATTTCATTGAATTAAACATATGGAAGATTAGATTAGACCATTAAAAGGAATAGTTATTCCTAATTATTTATTCACCCTTGTTTCAAACCCATATGACTTTCTGTCAATCTTTTTTCCACCATGGCTTTTGAATCTTATCCATATCCAATTATATTCAAAAATATCACATTGGGTCATGCCACATCAACAAGCGACTTGGAATATGCAAGGCTCTGACAGTCATGGAAAACCTGGAAATAACAGGGAAAGTTCTATAGTGAATAAACATTCCTAGTTATGTTCAGTTTAATTACTAGAAATATCATGGAGAAATCATTCAAATTTGCCAGTTAAAAAGTGTGGGAATGCTAAGCATGCTGCTAGAAGAGAGAAAGTCATATACACTCTGAGAAAAAAAGGTGCAAAAGCTGTCACCTTTCTAAAGGTACTTCTTTTGTACTTTATTTACCCCTAAAGCGTGCATATTAGTGGGTGAACCATCCCTTTAAAGGTACACATTACTGCCTAAATGGTACATATTAGTAGGTTTTGAAAGAGTACTGTCCCAGTGACAGCTTTTTTACCTTTTATTCTAATAGTGTAGGTTTGGATTGACGAGGGTGAACTAAATCTGTAAATGATCCTTTATATTAGACTGTCAATTTATTTTTTCCTACAAGAAGTAAAAAAAATGAGCAAAATGTGCTTTCCTTCCCAGAAAAGCCATTTGGAAGACAATCCGTTCTGTGCCAGTTCCGATTTAATGTCAAAAAAGCACTCAAAGATGACACGACTCACCTCAACAACACTTTGAACAGTCATCCACTCAAAAGAAGATTGGAAATCTGATATAATTTGCTGTGCTGCTGCTGCTTTAAAGGGGTCATATGATGCGATTTCAAGTTTTCCTTTCTCTTTATCCTGGGAGAGTAGCCAACAATGCCGGTGGTTCTGACAAATAATGCTGACTCACAGCCTGTAAGTACGTTTTCATATTTAAAGGATTTGCCACTGACTATTCAAA